CAATGGATTGAAACTCGGGAAAGACAGGAGCGAGTAATTTCAAACATTTTCTCGGCGCGCAGTCTTCGGTGACTGCTCGAGCCCCTTTTTCGAATATGCTCGGGAGCTTCTGAGCCAGTCGGTTAGATGGCGCTGCGCGTCGATCTCGGGAGCGACCGTTCCCGCCCCCGCCCGTCGACATCCTCGCGACGTCGGATTGGAGGATCGTGACGTCAGCTTGGAAGAGCGCGATGTCGGTTTCGCGGTGGTGCCGGCGACCTCCACCCTGGCGTCTCCGTTGGGATCTGGAGGCGCGGCCGGCTGACTCACTCGGGAGATGAGGAAAACGCGTCTTGTCTTATCTGGCAGCCAGCGCGTGTAAAAATCGTCTCCGTGTTTGGCTCCTACCGTGTTGACGGCCAGTAATAAATAGTATTTTGAATTACTCGTAAATCAAAGGCGGGGAGGGGAAGGAGGGGGGGTGGGAGGGGAAGGGATGGGGATGAATGCATTTTTTGTCCCCCGTTAGGTGCAGGGGCCTTCGGATTTTGGTCGTGGGATATTTTTCGCCTGTTCCATCAGCAAGCTAAATTTCAATCAAATTCCGTCACGGTTGAGCACGAGTAATGCCCCACTTTAGGAGGGATGACCCATAAATTCATTATCATTAAAGAAATTTACGAAATAATAACATTTTACAATAAAAAAAACACCTTCATTTGGAAACCCGCACGATGAAAAAAAAGGCCAAAGAATGACCGATTTCCCAGTAGGAATTTCAAACGATTCTGTTGAAATCCTAATCCCTCAAAATTGCATTTCGCATAGGTAAAGAGATGCAAGCATTCCAAAGGTAACGCTTTTGAAAATGTTGCCTTTTTAAATTTTGTAATTAAACTTTTTTATCAAATTTTTTTTTATTCAAAAAACCAAATGCTTTTCTCGATTAAATTTTAACAAATTTAGATTCCCGTTCATCTCAGCTTTAATTCGAGCAATGAGACGAAAACAAAGTTGTGCAGAGATCGAGGGCGTCGGCTGTCCATTGTGTTCGATGCAGTCGTCCTGCTTGCCAAATTGTAATCAAATTTGGTATGAACTGGCACACTCGAGATAGAATGACTCAAATTACAATGATCAAATGGGACGGAACTCGATTAGTAAACCGGGAATATTTCATGTGTTACCGGAAGTACCGCTAGTACCTAAGAATGTACTAGGGTTATTTGTAATTCCGAAAATACTCCAGATTATACATACCTGAGCATCAGTTTTAATGTCATGCGCAGAAAAGCAATAGATTTTGTATTAGGAGATACAGGTATTAGCAGAGCTGATTTTCCCGGAAACCAGGACAATCCTTACAAAGGTCATGCATAAGCAGCAAATAGGCAATGGGCCACCAGCTGCGTTTGGGGAAGGGAGCTGGTGGCCCACTTGCTACCACTAGTGGCCTCACTAGGTTGTGGGCCTCCTGTTGCGCGTCCCACTTGCCGTCACGCTTGTCACGCTTGCACGGCAACCAACGTACATTATCAGGTAGGTCGTTGGAGGTGTAACAGCAGCTGGGAAGGGACCGAATGCATATCCGAGTTATCCCTATAACTTCTAGCTCTAGCGGACTCTGAAGAGAATCTTAGGGTGAGAATGTCACACGGCTTGCCTCTTTCACGTTCAACCTGGAATCCTGAGACTTGAGCAAGACTCTACAAGTGCTGATAAGGAAAATACCCATATGCCACACAAGTGAACTCATGCACTCTATCTATTCCCGTACACTTCTGCATCCCTACGCTTAACTTCAGCGTATAATACTACCTCGAGTCATATACGAGGGCGGTTCTGAAAGTTTTTAGTTAAAGAAAAAAGGCGAATAATTTTGTTGAATTCTATTTATTGTTTTCCAAAGTAGTCTCCCCCAACACTAATACACTCATTCATTCTTTGAAACCATTTGTCAAAACAAGTTGAAAAATGCTTCTTTTGGCAGGTCCTCAAACAGGGTCGTGAAATCTGCGACGACTGCACGCAAAAATGTCCTTTCCCGCATCTTGTTTTTTTTTTATTGTAGGAAATAAAAAAAAGTCGCAAGGGGCCACAGGCCCGGACTGTAAGATGGATGGCTCAAAAATTTGGACACCAGATTGGTGTAAAAAATTCAACGTCCGAGCGGCACTGTGCACCGGTGCGTTGTGGTGAAGCAGAATTCCTCGCAAGCCGCAAGTAATAAAATTCCAATCGCGTCAGCCGCTTTTATAGACCGATGATAAGACTTCGACTATCTTCGGAAACGTTCAGGAATGGATTGTTCTTTCGCTGATAATACGAATTATCCGTTATATATGAGTACCGTTATATATGACGTAACTAAGAACTTTCAGAACTGCCCTCGTATTGCAATCTAAACATAATTCTACGCTTTCCTTGTATCTATTCGTAAATTCCACACTAAAAAGAAAGAGGGGAGGGAAACACTTTTCCTAAATCAGAAAAGCAGGTACATAATTGCATTTGAAAGGTGCAGGGAACATGGGTACCATCTAGTGGGGATTCTTGGTACTGCATCTAGAGGAATGCCAGCAACATTATGGGGAAGAGAGTTGATGGCCCTCCATCCAGTCCTCCACCTACTCCAGGCAGCGGGCCGGCAAGTGCATGTCCAACTTGCCGCCTCGTTCCTGCCCATGGTCCATTACCTTTGTGTTCGGCTGAGTATGAAAATTAAAGCCATGAATAATAATTATAAAAAAGCAATGGAGAATCGAGAATGCTGGATTTCCCACAAAATAGGATAATTCCCATTCCATATGTTATCGAGTGCTTCAATAAGAAGACCCGATTCCTCAGGCGTTCGTATCCTGTGCGTGGGGGACACACAACATCGGGTACGTGCTGATCTGCTACGGGGTCGTGGACGCCTTGTGCTCGCTGGGGTTCGGATACTTGATCAAGCTGGTCGGGAGGATCCCGATCTTCGTGCTGGGGGCGCTGATCAATGCGGGGGTCATCATAGTGCTGTTCACCTGGGCGCCGAACCCGGACAACGTGGTGGTGTTCTTCGTGCTGGCGGGGGGGTGGGGCATGGCGGATGCGGTGTGGCAGACTCAGATCAACGGTGAGTCCGGTGTCGGGTGGGTTGCGTCTGGGTTGCATGCGGAAGCGAGCTGCGGTTGATTCGGATCGACTTCTTGGTTTTTCGACGCGAAAGTCTCCGAATATGGGCGTCCGGGAAATTACGATGTCGGTCCGAATGCACAGCAGTGCGTACTAACACGACTAAACCCGGTTACTTTGCAGCTCTGTACGGGGTCCTCTTCCCCGACAACGAGGAAGCCGCCTTCAGCAACTACCGCTTGTGGGAGAGCGTCGGTTTCATCATCGCTTATGTGTTGAACAACGTTGCATGCGTTTACGCTCACACTTGGGTGGTGGTGGGGTTCCTTGCCGTTGGGATGGGTGGTTACTTCGTCGTGGAGTTCAAGGAGAGGTTCAGCAGCAAAACTTTCAAATTGGAGGATTGAAAGACGGAGTTTTAGATTTTCGTGTAATGAGAAATTAGATTCGATCTCCAAACTCGGTCTGGATCATGGCTGGTATTTTTTTTTAATCGTTTGAGCCGAGGGGCAATCGGCCCTATTCCATTCATTGTTGCATGCATTTCACGTGCAGGGTCCAATTGATCGTGTTGCAAGTTGATATGTATCCTAATGCACACATCCTTGTGATGAATGATTCAATCTACTGCGAATTTTGCAGCGCTCTATGGAGTTCTCTTCCCTGATAACGAGGAAGCAGCCTTCAGCAATTATCGGCTGTGGGAAAGCCTCGGCTTCATCCTGGCCTACGTACTACACAATGTTTCCTGTGTTTACACAATCGCGTTGATTGCCATCGCATTCCTCCTCGTTGGAATGGCAGGTTATGGAATAATTGAAGTGTTAGAGAGATCTGCAAGTAAAACCTGGAAACCTGACCACATCGAGATGAGTGCAGAACCTCAGAATCATAAAAAGAATTGACAATGCAATCAAATTACATTCGCTTGCTATTATTGACCAGTGACACAGTTGTGTGTTTATGTGCTAGCTAACCAATATGTCTCTACTTTTGTCAAAGATGACTGATGTGGTATATTTTCCATGCAAGAAAGACACAGCATTTGAATAAATTATTTTATTATATCCTTTGCAATTTATATGGTCTCACTGCCTGTGGAATAATACAAAGAACCACACCTGATTGACTCATCTGCTGCTGAAGGGAATCAGCATTGAATGCAAGGGACAAGCAATCATGTTATTTGAATGACTGTAGCATGTTAAAGTCATGTAATCTGAAAGACCTCCAAGGGTAAGACATAAGAGCTTCCCCATAGCACTGCAGCAGATAGATAAGCACAATTCTAGTATTGAAGGATAAAAGTGTATTGTATCTTCCCCGAAAACGCAATTCCATATTAATTATGAGCCCACATTAGATATGGAAGCATCTAGGTCTAGAATGGACAGGAGATATACTGGCCGACAACCGGAAGAAAAGTGAGATAACACATTTCTGATGAGGTGAACACCAAAGGATTTGACAGTCCTATGCATGGGAGAAAGCACTGATAGAAATGGAAGTGTTGATATGAATAGTTCAGTTTCTTCAAAGACTATCTTTGATTGACAGTCCATCAGGGAAAGAAACAGATTTAATGGAGAAAAAACTTCACATGCTTCAATCTTAACATGATGATAGCAACTGGTGAAAATTGCACACAGCCATTGCACCACTTATGCCACAGTGTAGGTAGATAAGATATTAGGAAATGGTGCTTCCTATTGACCATTTATCCCCAGTGTGATGCAAGAAAAAATCACAGGCAGAGTGACCATACACAGGTCATGCCCGCATCGAAGCCGAGAAGCGTAGGGAAATCATACGTGAGTGGATATTGGTCCTCGAAGGAAGAGATCACAGATGGATGAGCACAGACTACAGATGGCTCATGACTTCACAATGATGAGGATAATGACCAGGAGTAATGTCGTACCAGCCAATCCCATGAAACACATCATCTTGCGGCTTCTATGCTGGTGGTGAGCAGCTTTCTGAAGTTGCTGCAATCCTTCATGAACACGAACTTGACAGTTTTCCATGTTATAATCTATCCTGTCCAACACTGTACCCTGCAAAAAAAATAGAGTACAGTGAATTATTCTATAAAATAGCACATAATAGGCTGTCAGAACAGAACAAAAGAAGAAAACATGAACAGAATTCAAGAACTACATTTAACATTGTAAAATATATTTTCTCCTCAAATTCATGGAATGAAGATGGTTAAAGGTCCCATTTCAACAATGAATTTTAGAACAAACCTGGTCAATGACCAACTGAGCCAGATCTCTAAACATATCATTCAGCTCCACAATAGACTTCACTATCTCCTGGATTTCCTTGTCCCTTTGATTCAACCACTCAGTGTTCTCCTCTAGAAGAAGTAACTGCTGCTGTGTTTCCTTTGGGTCTTCAAACCAAACCATATCACCAGCAGGTTCATCAATGATTTGATTCACTGTAGTGTTCAGGGGGGTGGGTATCTCAAAATATTGCTGAGACCACTCTTCCCGGGATTTCAGGTCTGTGGAGAAGACAAGATTGTACGATCACATCAATGAGAAAGATAAAAACTGCAAACCAATAACAAACCTACTGTATTAGCAGAATTTTAAAAGAACATGAAGGAATTTGGATCCCGCCTCCCAAAAAAAATACATCACTTCACTTCATCAGCTTGATCAGTTGCTCTAGACTTAGAATATAGCTCCTTTTCAAGATCTAACTGTTTTTTAAAAGAAAGATTTAAATGGGGAGTAAGGAGCATATAAAGAGTTTCATAAGGAGTAACAATCAATCTGAAATGAGAAATAATGCCATTATAAAGACATGAAAGGCACACTTCAAAAAACCAAAATTGTTTTCCATATATATCAATTAATGGACAGCCTGTATAACTCATGACATACATATTACCATGCCATGCCATGCCACAGATACTATGTGTAGAAAGTCCATAGGGGTGAAGGGGGGGGGGGGGGGGGGGGGGGGGGGGGGGGGGGTTTTGGAGCTGAATGATATGTTTAGAGATCTGGCTCAGTTGGTCATTGACCAGGTTTGTTCTAAAATTCATTGTTGAAATGGGACCTTTAACCATCTTCATTCCATGAATTTGAGGAGAAAATATATTTCAGGAGTAGTGAGACAATGGAAAAAAGGATGTTAGTAGCATAACAAAGCACAACCAATATTTTTCTATCACTGGTTGAAACAGCTACCTTCAATCATCTCATAATAAATCTGATCATCCTTGTCAGTTAAAGTAATAAAAAAAACCATAATCAAGGTGACTTTTCCCTGCAAATATCTTTTTTTGCTAACCTGAAATAGTATATACTCAAGAATGCATAGATTTTACACCAAAAATTTCTTTTGAATTTCTGACTCCAAACTGAGTGACATATACACGAGCAACTCAACTTCTATAATGATATGGAGATGATATGAGAAGCCATACTCTTCAAGTAAGTGGATTGAGCCATCCTGAATGCAGATGTTAGATCCTGCATTGATGAAGCCAATGATGAGATCACATTTTTGCTCAGACGTCCATCATCTGACCTTGATAGGGATGCTTTGCCTTTGATTTGAAGTAGGAGACGCTGACTGTGGGAAAACATCTGCAAGAAAAATAGAAACAACCTTTGATTCCTGCAGCTGCTCTTATGATAACAGCAAATAAAGTAATATATTATCCTCCACTGAAAAATACACCATTTGGCAGCAAGAAACGCACACGAGAGATATCACGACTGAGTGCTTCAATCTGCTTTTCCTCCTCTGTGCTCTCGTCCAGTGATGGTCTCGTCAAATGTCTTTCGTGAAGTTGCTTCAACTCTTGGATCTTCTTCGGAAGCTTGGATAAGTTGTACTGAACGTCTTCAAAGGCATCTATCCAATCTGGAGGGGGTCTTCCATCTAGAGGTGAACTTGCACCAATTTCCAAGTCAGCTGGATCTTTCCTCACCAGAGCAGATCTGTCTGATATTTCCTAAAACAGCAAAAGGCACCTGGACCTTTGGATGCGAAGTTTTAAAATCCTAGTTGCACAAAAGGATAAAATGTACTATGCCAAGACATGCCTTGCAGAGATTAAAATTAATAGTCTTACATGTTCTGCAACAAAGTGCTGATTCTGTGCTGCCTTGTTCCTCATGGCTACAAAAAATTCAGTGTGGCTTCTTGAGGCCATTTTCTGAGACCCAATGTCAGACTTTACCTCTGACAAAATCTATATAAAATAAAAAAAGGTAAGGAAATATCAGACCTAGGCCAAAATGGAAATACTTAGTTCTAAGTTTGAAAGTTTTCATGCTTCAGTTAAATATTGGCTACCATCAGGGCAATCTGGGAACAACCTGTATCCTGGACATGCATGCAATATGGTACCCTCTTTTGTACCTCAAGGGCAAAGGAAGAGCTGCAGCAGTTGCCCAAAGCTATTGGGAGGGGGGAAAAGAGAGAGACTGATGACTTCCACACCCCCATCCCTCACATTTTGTTTTCTCTAGAATTGTGTGCCACGAAGGTAGGGGCTGGTAGTCTGTCAAATGAAACCCTCAACAATATTCCTATTGGTCTGTCAATAATTGTGCATGTACCCCAGATTGGGTCATGTTTGTACTTTTCCAGGTAAAGTTTCTGTCAGTGAGGTGTGGTGGGAGTGGCCCAAGAAAAATACAGCATTCTGGGCACAAATGATCTGGGCTTGTGTCCAACTATCAAATATGTTTTTTTTTAAAACAATTTCTCTGTATTCCCTTCCTTTGAGTCCATGACCAAAGAGTGAGAGAAGGAAACCATTCTGGGGAAAGGGTCAGGTAAGTTTGGGAGACCACTTCCAATCCTAACTTACAAGGCTGAGGGAATGGATATCATTTGGCTATTTGTCACAAACCAAAACACCAAAGCAGGAGGCTATTCCATTCCCTGAGATTTATCCTATTGCCATGTTGAGGTGTGTCAATCAGTGGGTTCTAGTACTAAAAAAATGTGGCAAAAGACAAACAAGGACAGGGGTTCTATAAGTCACTTGTGTACCTTTCAGCATGTCCAAGCCCATGGCAGAATTTTTATCAGCATGGAAATATGCAGAAATGAATGTTCTGTAAAATCACCCTCTTCTTGCGAAAACCACCCCTTCTACCTCATCCATTGACAGTGTCAAAATTATAATAAAACCATGGTATGTAAATCTGTATGTTCCCTCTCATTAAAAGACTCCCAGACCAATTGTTTTAAATACTAAATTGAAACCAACTAAAATCATAGACAATATTTACCCATTTTCCTTTCCCATGTGACCAAGAGAATCAGAAAATAAACTTAATTTAAATATAGCCTTGTTCAGTGTTGTTTGACAGTTGCAGTCTTTCAATCTTTAAAAATGATTTTTCAAATTGGATTAAATTTTTTACCATGGACTTGGCTCAAGTCAGGGAGGAGAAAATTGGATAGGTCAGATATCAAGTGAAAGCATCCTAAAGAACCCCTTCTTACATATTACAATGAAAGTATCAAAACTTTCAGCCAAGTCCAACATCTTTGCAACTGATTTTAACGTACATGCAGAATCGCAGGCTATCACAAGTGTAACACTCATCTGAAAAATGTTTAATTGGAAACATTGGGCCTAGCTATGCTCACACCTGTTTTGTCGGTTGATTATTTAGATAGATATTTATATAGTAAGAGGTAGATTATATTTGCATTATGACAGCGGATTCTGAGGAATTTGGGTTCCATTTAGCTCATGCCATACCGGACCCTCTAAGAATTCATCAAGTAGGCCTAGGCTCTAGCAGAGGCTCGAAACATCTGGATTTCAACACAAATGAATGGGAAGTGCCATATTCTTCATGAGCGAGGAGTGTCGGAGCCGACTGAAAAAGCGTTGAACTCAAATTTCAAAACGTGGGGACTCAGCCCTGGCAAAGAGACGAGTTATCACGAGCAGCTGCTCCAATATTCCTCCGGCGCTGAACCTACGCGATCAGGCGACCTAAAAGCACAGCTAGGATGTAGGCAGACATCTTGCCTCGTGGAAGCGCATGCAAATTCCTTGCTCAGACAGCTGTTTTCTCTCGCTGCCTCGGTTCTCGCGATCTCGCTCAACAATGATGTAAGAAAGCTTTAGGTTCAGTGGTATTTTAATTTTGAGCCGACCATCGTGTAGATTTCTAGCGGAATCCAAGTTTTTCCGCGCGATGTCATGAAGCAGTCTTCGAAGAGTTGCCGGTCCGTATGCCAAGTAATGCAATGCGTTGCGATGCTAAGGGCAGAGGGAAAAAAACTGGAAATACCACCCGCAGTGCATTCACCCATGCTCCAGACTCTTTTGCATCATAGATAAACAAAGAGCTACGTGAATCCCAAGCCTATGACGAGGTAAGTCCGGCCACCAGCACATAATAGCTCGAAGGCAAGGAACATACGGCTTGCGGGGAAAGGGTTCACGTTTTCTTTCATTTCGGGAGCGAAAAATCACAACAGCCGAGCGGCAAGTCCTCCCGCAATTCTAGAGCCCCCAGCTACTATCAAGTCTGCGGTTAAAATTGTGCTTACAGCTGGCTGTTTTGTCTACATCAGAAAGGTTCGTGGAGGGAAATGAAAAGAAGAGTAAAAATGGACTGCCTTCAAGTAAGTTACGAAAGTCGTTCCGGATTCATCCGTTGCTTCATCGTTTCTCCTGCGTCGCACCGTTACGATGTTACAATGTTACGTTACGATGAGAAGTTCTTGCAAAACTCTTCACAATTTAAAAATCGGAAGGCTAACTTCGAATTTCGGAAAGATCGTGCAGAAAAAAAGGTTCGTTTTCGCCCCGTCGGAAGAAAAGTTGCCGTCCAACCTTTGTTTTCGTACGCTGGAACTTCCCGATTCCCGAAGCCTCGTTATCTGATCTGCCAGATCTGGGTCCCGGCCTCGCTCCTGGCGCCTCCGCTCCATTACGGAAGGAGTCGGTCCGGCGATAAGGTGTCTCTCGGTGCTGTGACGGGGCGCGTCTGCGAGTGAGGTTCGCCGGGAGTCGTGCAGGTAGGGCAGCGGTCATTTCGCGGGTGGTCGCGGAGGAGGCAAGAGGGCTTTCGGGCAGGGTCTCCGTTGGAAAACGGTTCGAGTAAGTTTTCTGGGTCGGTCAAATGTGGAAGTCGACATTGAAATTCGAATGCCTTTCTTCTTGACATGCTTTACTTCCGTTCAGCGTGCAGCAAAGCGACGCATTTGGATTTCCTCGTCGCGTTTGACTTTCACGCATCCATGTTTGACTAGGAAAACCCGTGCAATAGCTTCTGAAACAGCATCGGCCACTGTCACGATGTAACTGTCATGCTTAAACAGCTATATTATTATAATCGTCAGGCATTTACGGGTTAGAGTCCAGTTCTCGTCCTCTGAATTTGTTGTTTCAGCTCTCAGCTAATCCTTGGTCATGGATTTTTTCCTGGATTTCTTGTAAGGGATTTACCCTCTCTGCTGTCAGCTGCAACCGTCATGTGTTTTCATGAAACGCGTTACAGTTTTTTAGTTTTGCATGATTTTCCTACAGTATTTCTGACGACAATGACTACACCTCCAGCAATCCAAAGACTCACGTTCAATTAATTTGCTCTCTGGTGTGGAACGATTCACTGCTAGCAAGAGTTTGGCGCGAAGGTTACGTGAAAAACCAAAACATTTTTGCTGATTTAGGTGCCGGAACACAAATAATTTGTCGTGAGGTGCAGTACCGAGCTAAATGGTGAGAGGGGCTGGGAGTTGCGACATCAGCCGACACGAGTAGCCTTGGGAGACAGGATTTGGCCCGAGCAGTTGCTCTGGGGATGCGCCATCCGGGCTCGGCCTTCACCGTCGGAATTCTTCACCGTCCCACATCGACAGACGGGGATGAAGGTGGTCGGAGGCGGAGGGACTCGAGTGTCTCCCTTCTCCTAGCAAACTGGGGGGAGCATCTGGAAGTGGATGCTTGGCTTGGTTGGGTTCGAACCGGAGTCCCCGATCGTCCCCTGCTTTCTTGCTTTATCCTTGGGCCTTTATCCTCCAACCATGGCAAATAAAACGAAGTGGAGTTTTTGCGGTAGTTGATACTCAGCAAATTAATTCTTAATGCATGGATTTTATTCAATAATAAGGTTCAGATTTTAATCTAATTGTACAGTGGTTGGGCTGCTAGGGCGCTGCTGCATGCGAAACTTCAGCCTATACGTCACGTTATCTTACTTCATGGGCTAAAAAATTGCCAAAAGTCGGGAAGTGCGATTAAAAAGAGGAAAACATTTCCCCCATAAAAATTCAGAGTAATGCGTCAGCCATGACTTCAGTCTTCAAATAACCGTTTCCCATGAATCGCACGGCAAAGGAGTAAGCCCGAGACCCTGGCGCCCCGTCCAACCGCGTCCGCCGACTCGCTGCGGTGGCGATTTGGGCGTCATCTCGCTTCCGTCGCGGGAACCTTGTTTGCTGGAGTCGCTCCCAGATGGCTTGCCTGCTCCTCGTTCATTTCACTTCGCTGAGCTCGACCTCTTAACTCTTGACCTCGTGCACTGATTGGGTCGGACCCATGGGGACTTTTATTTACTCGAGGCGAGATCTATCTAATCAATGCGATTGGACGCCTTCATCTGCCGTTTCTCCGTCTCATCGTCCATTTTCCGCCAAAATAGGGGGGAAATGGAGGCTTAAGTCGGGGAACGTTTTGTCCCACGGGAATATATGCTCCAATGCTAAGGTGTACGTCTCCAAGATCTTAGCACTCGTTAATTGTTCAATAACCGTGTTTGACTGCAATAACAGGCCGACGACCAGTGCATTCTTCTGTGGTATTGTCCGTGCATTTCTTTTCTTTTTTTTAGCATGTGCTCCGTGCTTAGCCTTCATCTCGCTCCAGTTCGATGGCGAAAAGCATAGTCATCGGTGACTGGTGGCGATCGCGGTCTCCCGCCGAAATTTCTCTGCACTTTTTGTCTTCGAATTCGTGCAAAAAAAAATAGTCCCCCGGTGAAAACTCGAGCGAAACACCGAACGCAATTCGAGAAGTCAAACTTTTCTCCTTGCAAAATCAGGTCAGAAACGAACGAAATTGACTTGAAGAATTTGAACGTCAAAAATTTTTTTTAATTTTGGATCTTTGAAAATTTGGCTTGCAAGAAAGGAAATTTTAAACATATGAAAAAAAAGTGACTTTTGGTCCACCCTGTGCATATCGTTTTCAGGAACTTGACTTGCTGATTCCAAAATTGTCTGATCTTTCTGTCAGAACTCGATTTCTGCCGGTCAAGAAGTTTAAATAATGTCCTACAGTCAAATGGAACGTACATTTTAAATTATTTTTGCTATTTTATTAATTTATTTAAAGGACGAAGAGTCTGGATTTCGCTCAAACGAAATTACCCAGCAAACAATTTGAAACACATAACGTTGAATCAATATTGAATGAACGTTCGGGAACGTTGATACAACGTTGGTCCAACATAGCCTTGTTTGCTGGGTATATTGCAGGCGTCTTTTTACAAGTCCGAACGATTGGCAAGTGGTGGGGCCAGTCACGGCCAATCCCGGTCAATCACGGCCAATTCTGGCTAATCAGAAGGTATTGTCCCCTGAGACGGGATCGATGCTGAAAATTATGTAACAGAAGAGACAGGGCTGTCGGAATTCATAGAGCACTTGGATACTTCTTCCACGACAAGGCACCAAAGCGTTCTCAAATACTTTTCCACCTGCTTAGAGTAAAATTAATTAATTTCAACGGCATTTCCCCCTTCAAATTACGTTGCAACTCCTGATAAAGCCAGCGTAGTGCAGCAGAAAGAGCACGGGGAGCGAAAATTCTAAGAGCAACCCTGATCGTGTAACGGCGCAAGAGAGACAAAAGTGACGATAATAATTAATTATAATTGATTGCGATAATTATAATACAATTAGAATTGTATTATATATAGATAACATCGCCGAATCTCCTTGAACTTGAACAGGAAATTCAAGGGCTCGTTTCAATGACTTTCTGCAACAAAACCGTACCCCGCCACTCGAGATTTCAAGCACTCCGATATCAACATAAAATAACGTGCCTCGACATGACTCAACGTAAACCGAGCGTCGACAAGCTAGGGCACGTCGGAGCATGCCAGCTACGATCGATCGGGCGGGGTAGAGGGGAGGAGGAGCCTGGGCGAGTTGCATCACTGGCGGTCCCCCCGGCTCGCAGTTTCGTGTTCGGTCGGGAGCGGTGAGGGTGGGTCTTCGCGTCATTCCGGTTCGATTCTGTGTGTGAGTGCCTTCTGCCCCATTCCGGGTTTGGTTTTGGACTTGCTGCCGTGGTTTCACGTCTTCGAGTTCGAGGGGTAAGCTTGCCATGGTCCCAAGGACCCCGGGAAGAACTCGGAAGGTCCATAGGCCTATTTTTGGTGATGAGTCCTCACAATGAAGCGTGAGTTTCGCCGGTATGGCTCATGCGGCGAGCTCGCCTGTGTCGCATCCTAATCGCATTTGCCTGGTGCTACGCGATGGTGCCTACGTTCCACCTCGTTTCACAAGTTGCTAGTCCTCGCTCTTTGAGAAGAGAGAGAAAGGGGTGAGCGTAAGTTGCCATCTTTTTCGAGTGTAATAGACGTTTTTCGTCCAAATGGATGCACTGAATAGTGGCATGGGGGGAGGGGGGGGGGGGGGGGGGGGGGGGGGGGGGAGGAGAGGGCTGTCGAAGCAGCGGGTGATTTATAGGAATTGCCTCCTTCAACTAAAGGAAGTCCAATTGACCCTGTCGTCCCGCTGGATGGATTCCCCGTCGGTAGGCCTATCACGTTGAAGCGGGGAATGGAAGATAGTCCAACCTTGATTCGAGAAGCCGGACTTTTATCGATTGCTCCCCCTGCCCCTCCCCCCACCCCCTTCTTTCAAGGTCGCGTCCGGCCATGGCTACCGCAGATCGCTGTCCGCCAAGTGCAGCATGAATGCGGTCGTGTTTTTATGCATCTAGTTCTTTCGGGGTCGGTGACCCCACCGTTGCAAGGAATCGAATTCTGGAGGAACGAAATTAGAGGAATTTCTTTGGCCTTGAAAAGGGAATGTCACATTCTTTCTGAACCTTTGTAATTAGGACGATAGGTTGATACTGGTTGTCGTCCTTGTTTCACTGAAAAGGGAATTGGAATGGAACGATCCTTGACAAAATAAGGAAGTGGAGTCAAGGATACTTTCCTCACCAACACACGAGCTGCACTGAACAGAATATCGTACAAATCTTGCAGAAATTATATGATTTTTGGATTGCTTTTTAATTCGTAATAATTTAATTATGCTTTTTTAATTTAATGCGGAACTGGTAATTTCGCTAAGACAGTTTCGAATAAGGTAGGTTTCGGCTAGCCGTACCGCTAGAGAATCGACACGGCTGTGTGCCATTGTACAGCACTATCAATGGTATTTTCGATTGCGCCTTTGAAGTTGCCATAGGTGTTCGATTGAGATTCTTCGCCTTGGTTTGGTCGATTGGATTCGTGTTCTTATTGTTCTGGATTCTTTAACACGGCGACGCGCAATCCCAGAAATCAATCGACTAAGCAGTGGTGGTCCCTCTAAGTGCAGTTGATTAGGTACTTTTGCAACTGTTTTTCGCGTGAATCTTGGATGCCCGAAAAGCAGAATTATCTTCACTTTTTTTTGCATCTCCATCTCTTTCAAACCTCTGTAAACTGCAACTAAGAAAAAGAGAGGCGGAGTCAGTCCTCGCAATCACTAACGCACTATGAATAAAGCGGATAGGGAATCCTTCCAAATTCGCGATAATAAATAGTGCAGGAAATCATATATGATTAATCGTATCGCGAAAATTTGAGCCCTAATATCGTTCCTATCTTCCATTCTTTCTTTCTTTTTTCTCTCCTCATACAGTTTCAGTCTGGAGAGCCCATATAACATTAAACACTCGCGGGTGAAAGAGAAGTTGAAAAAATGTGTCGATCTTCGTGAACTGAAGTATTTTTTCATCTTTCATGTTTCCCCACAAATAGGGGTCATGCTGCATTTCTGAGATGGATGAAAAATCATTCTCAAGGTTTCCTGTTTGACCACAATCTCGTCCTTCTTGACAGAAGTGAATTATGATGTTCCAGGAGCTTGTAGTCACAAGGACGCGAGAAGGACGTGGAGTTGTGACCCCGTGAAAGATGCACTTATATTATACACACGGTAGTAGAATCAGCCCCTTACCCTCCTTCCCCCATGAGTGGGGGAAGGAGGGAAGGAGGACTTCGCAGGCTCCACTCCTTATGGCCTTCCAGCGATGAAATTCAACGCCGTCAGTGATTCTCTTCTGCCGTGATGACTTAGGTCTGAGCTAACTTTTGGGGTAGTCACGACTGATTTGGGTGGCTGTATTGAAAATGTGGGCGACTGTAATAATCTATTCGAGTGAGCGTGCGAAAAAAAGCTTTAAAAAGTAGCCGGAGCAACCCATGCCAACAATGCCTTCAAGACTTCATAAAGTTGTCCGTTGTCAGACAACTAAACAAAATGCCTTGATCGCGGCAAAGATTGGTTTGAGGGTTCATATAGGCCAAAAAGAGGCCGGTTCACTTTTACCACATCAGACTTTTTATCGCGAATTCATGTTTAACACAAGTATCGACATCGTGTTTTGGGCCGACAGGGACTGAAGCCTGAATAACCATTTCCCTTTTCCTCGTCTTGGCCTTCGTAACTGACCACCTGAATGGAGATGAGGAGATGGGATGCTTGATGCGAGGAGATGGAGCGCATAATGCGAAGAGAGGAGCGCATGATGCAGGGCCTTCCAGAATTCATAGCTGATAAGATCGTGGTTTGGTGACGACATAAGGGAAACAACAAACATAAACAGGACGCCAGATCTTTCGGATACATGGGTTTCATTTACATGCGCTACAAGCAGCGTTATAAGTGAAGTATGTGCAGGGAAACAAAGAATGCAATTTGCTGCAAATTCCTCCTGAAAAAGCAAGGCGGGACGGGTCGCCACTCTGACAAAAGTATGAACATCGGATGCGGTTCTCCACACACCATAAATTTTCTCCAAGTCCTACATCCCGATTAGGTCTCATTTTGTGAGAGGAAAGCCGAAAATTGGTTTGTCCCCTCTGCATTATTAACTCGTTGAACTTATGCCTCGACGCTAGCTCTCTGGAGGAATCCAGAGAACTGGCAGAAGAGGACGGAAAAAGGCATCGAATCCCGTGCAGGGCCGTTACCGTGCATTGCACTGCGTGCATTATGCAGGCCTTGGTGTCGTGCTGCTAGGGGGATCTCCCTTTATATTGAAATTGATGACCCAAAAAAGGGAGTAGTGGTGCTTCCCTGCACGGAGGCAGCGGTGTGGTAGCACAAGGCTCTAATTTTGTTCGATCGAACCGAGTTGGAAGAAACTGGCTGAAGCAATCGCTCGGTCGCTCATTCGGAAGTGCCTCCATTTCTGATTTCCTAATTCGCAAATTTGCAAAATTAGAAGTAGAAATATTCGCAACAATCCAAAACCGCCAAGAATATAGACCATTATGACGTGAGATACTCATCTGAGAGTGCTCAATCGCCAGTATTACTGAACTTGGAACACAAAACGAACACTGAACGCGTGACAGGACCTCAGAGAATTCCCTGTAAAATGAAATTTCCTGCATATTTAACCATCGCGATACATAGAACGCCTCACGCAGTCCACATCATCTAGATGTCATCTTCCATCCATTATTTTAAACAGCATGTCAGATCCCCTGTTGCCCGTTTTATGTACATTCACCTCAAAGTCGTTGATGTTTCACATCGCGTGACATCAAGGCTGCGCCGTCCTGAATATTAAATCAAAAGCTATTTATGACTTGGAATTCTCCGAAATCCATTTTCATTCCCTTGCAATCCTTGCGACTCGCGCATCGCCAGGTTCCTTGCCTCCATTGGCCCTCCCGTGGTTAACATACCCGTATATGACGCAGCACCGCCCGGACAAAGTCGACTGCATCCAGCAACCCTGCCATTCACCCTGTGGTTATGGTATGGATGCTTCTGCAGTTTCTGACTTTTGCTATCAGTTATCAGATCATTTTTTCTGCGGTTTTGGATTGTAGTCGTAACGGAGGTAAAGAAACATTAGACTACTTCGCTGTCGCACTTTGAGAATCCCTTCCTAATCTGGCAGGCCATCTAGAGTCACTGAACGAGTTCATTATGCAATACAGTCATTGGAAGGCTTAAAAATAGACAACGTACTACGACTTCCTTCGCGAAGCTGCCATCCGGTTCGTGTTACTCCTGAACGAAACCGGCAATTGAGTGTAGGCATCCGTTTGATATTACACTCCTTTCCCCGTACATCTAGTTTCTCACTGAAATGGTATAAATTCAGTCACGTGCTTGACATGATGACGGTAGGGAATGGGCACAGCGTGGCCTGTCACGTGTACGAAAGGGTTGCCCCGCATTGGATGACCAGTCGAGATGCATCCGATAAGCGGTTGAAGTCCATACATGGAGGGTGTCAGCATTCCTGATGATTTGTTGCCCCTTGTCGGGTCGCATCTTGGCAGTGAATGCTCGAGAAGGGTACCCATAGTAGCATATACCTGGCGCGTTCTGTTGTGGCTAGCGGGTTCGTTCGCGTCGGGTTCCTTCCGTTGCCCTTGGCCCTTGTCTCGTGCTAGCTCTCTCTATCTTCCATTGTTTACACTGAGCCCCTTCCCTCGTGGTCTGTCTCGTATCGTATCGCAAGTGGTTCAGTGTTCTCAGAAAAGTGATCACATCCGGTTCCAGTGTTGGAAAACCATCGACGCAGTTGGTGATAGTAGATAGTTTACACTCTGATAGTTTGTCGCTCTGATTGTATCAGAGAGGCTGAGTGACTCTCAAGCTATTCATTTGTGCTGTTCATGCGCAAGCCATCCATTCATTTTACTTCAGGTGAGAGCCCAGCATGCCCGTGGTTGCAGTACGAGAGGATTCCGAATCGGAACTGTGCAGGCCAGAAACTCCTGGAAAATTGTGCCATTCGATTGCCGTGCCCCAGTACAAAGATGTCGTCATCGTCGGTAAGGTTATCGTTGTCTCTTTACTCTAACCTTAGTCGCGAAACGGTCTGGAAGACTCTCATAATTTCAGGTAACGGACCATCAGCCATCACATTGTCATACATGTTGGCGGGGAACTGGCCCTACTATCGGGGCACGCCCGTTCAGGACATCTTCCTGCAGGAAAGGCTACGGGGTGTGATGGGGAAGTCTCTCCTAGAGGTGGACCTAGAGGACTTATCCCAGGTGGGGTACCTTTCTGAGAAGTTTCTGAATGTGTGACCTGCAGCCTTTTGCGGAGACAGGTTTTGATAACGAGGGAGAGTCAGCAGAGGAGTGGGAGATCTGTGATACGTCAGTAGATTTTTTCAGACGAAATAGTTATGTAATAAGTATTTTATAACTGCGAACGGTACCAACTGTGTTTGTTGTATAAACACCCTCTCGTTGGCTCCGTTACTACTTTTATCTTGTAAGGGTGGGAGGAATAAATGCGAGGATGTGTAGGTTAGCAGTATTCATGTCACCTAATTGGCATTTGGACTTCCAGGGATTGGAGGGGAGGAGCAGGAACCCGATATCCCTGCTCTATGACGCTTTGGTTCATCCCGGAGCTGATCTGGGGAAAGACCGTGGAACCACCCTGCGTTGGCGTTTCAAACCCAACAAGGTCGTGGACCACGTTGCTCTTGGCCGAGGACTTCCCGGTGGATCTTGGCAGGTACGGTGTTGCTTCTTCTTACATCCTTTCGCCTGCTCTTGCCGTCAGGAACTTTTCGAACATGAAGTGTGCCGAAATAATCCTTTAAGGTCAACGGGAAAATGTCTGCATGAATAATTTTCATAATCGTAGTTATTACTTTGAAAGCTTACATCACGAAGTAACGACTGTCGTGATTTTCGGTTGATTCCTTCTTCCGAAACCGTATTCACCAATTTTAAATAGTTGGGCAGTGAATATATTCGAAAGCCATTGTATATTATATGGCGTCTCCGATTCATCCAGTCTTTGGTTTCCAATTCTCATAACAGTCAATGAACGAGAGTGCTCTGACGATCAGCTTTGGGAGCTGGATGGACCTGCCCAAGTTCAAATTCCGAGAGTGGCAATTCCGAAAGATGCCCACAACAGCGCAGGAAGGTCGTGCTACCATCGGAGACGTGTCTCAATACTACTTGGATTACGTAGTCCATCAAGGCTTGAAGCCTCACTTCCTGAACAACACCCTCGTGACCTGCGCTTTCCAACGAACCGAGCCCACGGAAACGGAATCCGACTCTCCCCCCTTCTGGGAGGTGCACGGACAAAGCGAAGACGGGCCCGTCCGATACGTGACGCCGCACTTGGTCCTCGCGTGTGGCACCAGCGACAAGCCCAACCGCCTCGACATCCCCGGCGAGGATCTCTCGTTCGTCGTGCACACTCTCAAGGAGCTGGAGGAGTCCTTCGAGCGCCGGGGAAGACTCGAGGAGCTTATGGTTGTCGGTGCTGGACTTTCCGCTGCGGACGCGATCATCGCCGCCCTTCGGAGGGGGATCAAGGTGAAGCACGTGTTCAGGCGGGCGGCGAACGACCCCGGACTGGTTTTCAACTCTCTGCCTCCTGCTCTTTATCCGGAGTATCATCGCGTGTACAGCATGATGAAATCGGGGAGCACCGAGAACTACCGATGCTTTCCTCGTTCGAAGCTCATCGGGATTCGTTCGAATGGGATCGCTCTCGTCGAGGGAGTCCACGGATGCGGGAAGATCCCTGTCTCCTGCGTTGCCCTCCTCATCGGTACCAAGCCTGATCTAGGATTCTTGGATCCTGAAATCTGGGAAGCCCTGTCTGCTGGCGCGCATCCGAAATTCGGTCGCTTGTCTTTGGATGTCGACGCCTTGACGATGGAGAGTCGTTGCTTCCCGGGGTTGTATGCCCTGGGTCCGTTAGCTGGTGACAATTTCGTTCGATTCATTCAAGGTGGCGCCCTTGCAGTGGCGAAGCGGATCCACGAGAATCTCGGGAACATCCCCAAGGCTCTCCCTTCCCCGGCGGACAAGGATTCTAGTATTCCCGTGCCCCGGGCCTGTGATGTGAAATGTCCAACCCCATAGCATCAGGCGCCGAGAACATGGTGTGATGCGTTTTTGGATCTTGATCATCTCGTGGATGAGTAATGCAGGTTCTCTCTCTAGAGGCGTTCATTCCCGGTTCGAGCCGTTCTCGTTCGGTCAGGGAACACTTTCTAAGTCGTTCTTTCCTCGACATACCTCGTCAAGTTTGATATCGTTTCTACGTATGTGAGATTCTTAGGGCAGCAATGCCGCAGATTGAATGGATTGAATGGTGCCTGCACTCTTTTTCATGACTCACAAGAGCTCGTTTTCGATTCATAATTCATATTGAATGCGTGCTAGTTTTTTTTTCTTCATTTCCTTGGTAACAAGGGAGAAATCGTGCCATACTTTTCTGCGTGCTATAGGCTTTGAGAAACATCGATGCATCCCAGTGTCAGAAAAGCATACGGAACGGCGGGGTGCTTCGAATCACATATCTTCGTCACTGTGCTCATAGTCCCCTGTCCCTCCTTGCCCAGTTGTTGCCAGCTGTATTTCGAATGTGGTTGATTGTAGTTTTTCTTACCTTTCGAGGTCGGGCTTACGTCTGTGATGAACGGTTGCTCATACACTTATCTTCGCCTTTCATCCTTTTTTTTTTCTAAACTGATTCTTTCCTGTGACTTCATAGTGTATAGACATGCTGATGGGTTTAGGTTAGGATTTATATTATATATGCATAGGGATTCTCGGTGTCTTCGTTTTTGTCGGTTCCTCAATGAGGGATGCTGCGATCCCATGTTCTGCCTTCGTCTTCTTTTTTAGTATTAGTATGCATGTGGAGTCATGATTATGCTTCCATGATGGAAACACATAAATGACCTGGTCAAGTCTTGTCCGTAGCCTGCCACTCTGCCATGATCATACGACATTTTCTGTTTTAATTGTGTGAGTGTATGTGTGTGTGTGTGTGTGTGGGGTCGTCGTGGAAAAAGAGAAATGCTCACACCGTTGCTTTACGCACATTATTCCCTAGCACAGATCTCACGTGAAAGCAGGGACCATAGGCGGGCCCGTTTTCGACCTTAAAAACTCGATTGCATGACCCTTTCATGATTGCTCTTGGCCTTCAGCACTCCTTCTCTATAATGACCCTGTTCCTGCAAAGACAATCTTGATGTAGACCTTTCTTTCGTGGATATAGTGTTCTTGTCAGCGTAATGCACGAGAACAGTCCCCAAAGCCCATAGTTGACACACTCAAGATACGTTTCGTTTGCTACTGACTCAAATCTCATATGTTTAGGCAGAATACTTGGTCCCTTTCGTTCACCTTTGTTAACATCGATGTGACTCCATGCCATACTTGCCGATAGGTCGACCTTAAGTTTTCGTACTTATTGAACCATGCTGACAGGCTGAATCCTTTCTGTACCAGTCGGTTTGTATGGCTTTTTCCACAAAATGATTCATATTGTCATCTTATATTGATGTGAATAAACCGGATTTTATTTTTCTCAGTTGTTGCTCTCTACAGATGCAAACGACATCGTTTATGCCCTCAATTCGAGGTTGCTTCACGGTGACACATTTGGCCGGTATGTCGTGGCTTCGAACTATATTATGTAACAGGAGCCACGTGCACGCCCTTCATTGGGGACGTGCCAACTGGCTCCATTTCTGCAATGCTGACTTGGGGCTGCACAACCACATGCCAAAAAAAAGAACTTGAGTTACATCTCCGTTTTGTCACTGGCCCTTCGAGGTTTTGCTTTAAAAAAAAAAAAGGAAAAGATATGTTTCACATCGTCAACCCTTCAATCGTCGGAGGCAACATTTGTCCATTACCAAATAAAAGCACACGGAAAAGGTCATCGAAAGCATGCCAAATTCTTGCTGAGTACAGTAGAACTCGGTCATAACGACAAAGAGCACGCCAGGTCCCAGCGTGGAGCCCATAAGGTACGTGAAATTTTACCTCGGTTATATCGCAGTCCATTCAAGATCCTGCTGACGAAATAGACGACGTTGACGTCCCCAATTCATCATTCTTAACTGGAATTTCCATCATCCGAAGAGTGAAGGGTGAGCGAATCAGCATTCCTTGAGTGTGGGTGTGACTGAAGGAGGGTGAGGAAGGAATAATCCCCAGTAGCTAAAAAAAAGATCATATTCTCTTCAGTCGCCATTTGCATTTCTCGTTGTTACATGGCCATGTTGTTACATGACCAACGAAAAGCAAAAGAGGCAGGCCGTCGCAATCACCAAGAAAGTATGCATAATTCGTTTAATAGAAAGCGGGAAGTGGGCGAAGTAAAGCTGACGTCTCTCGTGAACATAGACTTCCTAGTTCATCACTTTCCACAATTTAAAAAAATCGTGACAGCTCCATCAGTACTTAGGAGAAGAACATGCCACAAAGCAAGAAACTTCGATCTGCTCGAGATGACGTCAACAAATCCTCGCTAAAGAGGTTCAAGGTTCAAAGAAGAGCGAACTTCACCATTAGTGGGCCGATGCTTAAAGCGAAGCCAGTGCAGGACGACCGAGGTGCACTAGATTTGTATATATACTCTATTTTGAAGACAAGGAAGCTGAATTTCAATAAAATCCACCTCGGTTATAACGACGATTTTTCCGTGCTCCCTTCGATGGCGTTATAGCGGAGTTCGACTGTGCCTAATTTCGAATGCAGTCATTGGGAGAGTTCGGAACTTCACCTCCGGCAAAAGTGCAAAGCAGCGACCGAGGGCGAAAACATTTGAGAACTCATCTGATCCCAAGTTCTTCTCGCCGAAAAATGTTGCTTTTCGAAGATTCTCCTCGTGGGAAAGCGATTGGAATTGAGCGGGTTGCATTCCTGAACGATCTCATTCATTCCTGCATTTCTCCTGATCCGAAGAAGCGGTAGAAACGATGATATATCATGGATATAAGGTCATTTGCGGGTAAGTATGATTTATCTATTAAAAAAATCAAAGCTTCATTTTTGAATGAATAGCAAAACTTATCTATTGCAGATATGATGAAATACTTTTGTGCCCGTTAACCTTAGATTGTTAGCTTCAAATCATGGTATTTTCATCAAATTGAGCACATTTTTAAATGATCACCCTTACCCCGTTTTAGGGGCAAGCGTGATCTTGGAAAGAGGAAGTGTGATCATCAAACAAATAGTAGCGAGGTTTAGTGGTATCGATATATGCGAAATGAGCAAAAACATCAGAACTTGTACGCAAAAACCGCATGCGACTTTCTGTCAGCAATTTTTTTTCTGCTGATCCCACCCACCCCGAGCGTTCCCCCAAAGTGAAACCCGAGAAATGGGAAAAAAAAACTACAATCGAACGGAGTGGAACAGGCACAGCTTTCGCTTGGGAAGAACTTCCCATCGCCCCATAAGCTCCTCCGCTCCTCGCTTCTCCATGTGCGCTATTGCTCTTGTTCCGTTGAGAAAACCGGACGAAAAAAAAAAAATTCATCGACAATGATCGCCCTTACACACATGACTGATTTCATGCGGTGTGATCAGGCTTACTGTGCCCATGCCTAGCAGGAATGGAACTCCAAAGAGGACTAGTTGGAAAGGCCATTGAATTTACTTTGTCAGAAAACCAAAAGTTATATTTATTCAGCTGTTCTGAACAGTCAGGGAAATTTGAAATGATTGCGCCTAATAAAGTACTAGACATGACATACTTAATTACCTTTGATGTATCTTTCAGTTGCAGCAATGGAATTTACCTGGATATGCAAGGCAGGACCAGCAAGACAGACTTCTTAATGCATACTTTCTTGATAGCATGTTGTGCTTGTAAATATAAAAGTGAAAGCTGATAAAATTCACCTTTGATTACATTAGATATGTAAACCATTACTTTAGACTTGCATGAGCCATTTCGGTGATCACACCTATGCTGATACCCCATTAGGGGTAAGCAAGATTTTGAACGGCATTTTAGTCAAATTAAAAAGCATTTCAATGCTGAAAGAATTTTTTTTCTGATGATCAAATGTGCCCCTACCTGCTCTCTCTATCGAAAAAATATGGAATAAAAATACCATATAAACGAACGGAAAAGACATTGACTTGAGGACTTGACTGATAATGAAAGCAGACATCGTATTTATTTATTTATTTTTGCTTACAAACCTAGCTCCATCATATACAGTGTGTCCTGGAAAATTCTGAGCCGTGAGCCTGAAAGCGACACATAGAGCCAGGTGCCAGGTACCAGGTGCCAGGTACCAGGTGCCAGGTACACGAAGGTGCCCATTAGATAGGCTGCATCACGTAACAAATGCTGCTGCCTTTTCTCCTGGAAGGCAATGGCAAAAATTCATTTCTCGGACTCCCTCTTTTAGCAAAGCACATCACGTTCTCAAAGTGCTGTCTGTCTTGGGAGAGGCACATTTGGACTCGCTTTTCAAAGTTTCTAATGGCTTTTGGAAGAACATTCTGTGGGATCGTAGATGCATGCTGCTGGGTTGCAATCTTCAGCGCCTGCCAAATTCCCAGGTCGAGTGACGTAAACTTTATTCTTTGGATGACCCCAAAGATAATAATAAAAAAAAACCAATGGGGATCTTGCTGGCCAGTCCGTTGAACTGGCCGATCCATTGTCCCGGAAAGTCAATGTGAAGAAAATTGTGAACTCTTCTGTCATTAAGAGCTGCTGAACCGTAGTGTTGATGACCAGAGAGGCAACTGAGGAATACGAGACCTGTTCACACCTGATTCGAACACTTCTTTTCTCCTTGTAACGACATTCTCGCATTCAGATGAAACAATCGACCTTTCTCCTTTGTTGAGCCTACTTCTTGACAAGTCAGTTCAAATCCTGTGAGGGAATTCTATTTACAAAAACAATCATTTGAACCCGTTCCACGGAGGGAAACGCCATCAGGGTGATTCAGAAGAAGTGTAATGGTCGCGGACGGTATGCTTCAGTTGGATCAATGTCCAACGGAATCAACAAAGTCGGTGAGAAGCAGTTGGCAGCTCATCTTGGCTTATCCTGACCCAGTCAAGAAGCAGCCCGGATCTGTGAGAACTAAGCCAAAGTCCGTGAAAATGGGCGAAATTCGAAGTCCCAAAGAGTGGCGGCGAAGAAACTGGGAATACGTCAATCGAATCATCCACGAAGATCCATGCGCCTTGCGGCCCACAGAAAATACAAAATCTGCTCGCTTCTCCCCTAAAACATCTGCGATGACATCGCATTATCGGCGGCTTTGTGAGAAGTATTTGGCAGGCGAAAAATAAAAAAAAAACTGGTCACTCAGGATGAATCACTAATACATCTCTCTGATTGCATCAAGATCATCTACTATCAACAGAAGTCTGCAGTGGCGCCGAATGTTTCTCCCCTGGATTCATGATCGTCGCTGCTGTGAGCGACAGAGGCGAACTGGATCTTTGAAAGGTTGACCAAAAGGTCAAAATCGATTCCAAGTACTATCGAGAACAAGTACTGTGGCCCGTGTTCGAAAAAGAAATCCCCCGCTCGTACGGGGGAAAGCATCCAATCAAGTTTCACCAAGACAAGGCCGGCAACCACTTCTCGAAATCGACCGTGGATTTCCTTGGAAGATTGGAGAAAGAAACCGGAATCGCCACCATTCCTCCCTCTCGTATTCCTGTAAAGTCACCTGATACTGCCTTTACGGATTTCTGCGTGTTTGGAGTCCTCAAACAGCGCCTCGCCTGTCGAAAGGTGTCAACTGTGGCCGATCTATGGAAAGTTTGCAAGGTGGAATGGAAGAAACTTCCTCTCTCTGTGATCTGACGAGCTCTTCTCCAATGGAAGTACCGATGCCGAGCTGTGTACAAACACCACGGCCGGCCTATCGATCATTCCAATGTATTGTACAATAATATATGAATGATTTCATGGGAATTGAAAAGTGATCAAATCAGGCGTGAACAGGTCTCGTATAATGTGCTCTTTGCTGTTGATGCTGTGGGATTTGACAAATTTCGGGCCCGACGTTCACCTGAAGCTGCACAAGGTAACTGGCACTATCAACAGTTCGAGGATTTTCTGGGAGATCTTAAAAAAAAATGGACCCAAAATTCCAACGTACCAGATACCTGCCCACACATCGACCCCTGGGTGAATCCTGGAGTAGAATCGGCACTAAAAGATGTTTATACCTTCTGCGTGGAACAAAGTTCGGCCGAGCCCATGACTATACCTCTGTTTGAGGCATTTTCGTCCCATTTTCGACCATGGGAATGCAAATAACGCAACTGCAACGCGTTCGCTTATTAAAGCAAATCTTCCCTCAGAAAACATCTGAATTGGGCGCAAATGGCTGGAAGATTCAATCCGAGTGGGAAAGGTTGCCTGGACCCTCATCAGAGGGGTCGAGTTATATGACCAATCTGTAACTCGCCTCGTGGTCTTTCGAGGTCAAGGTCATGCATTTCTTCTCTGGGTCGTCGATGAGGCGACCGAGGGGCAAGTAAGTTCCATTTCTCGTTCAACCGATCAACGAGGTTC